GCAGGAAACAGTCTGGGAGGGAAGGCTGAGGGAAGCAAGTGTGTTAATATTCACGGGGCAGCAGCGGTCATCCCTCGGTTTTCTGTGTTTTCATGGCAGGCAGACAATCACTAGCCTTGCTTAGCAATTGCATGGCCTGGGAGGCAAGGCCCGGGCTCGGCTTCCAAATTGCTGGGTGTTGGGCAACTCACCTCCCTCTCTGGGCTCGGTTGTCTCATTTGTAACATGAGGGACTGTGACTTTCAGGATTAGCATCCTTGACAACTTGGCCATGGACCTCGTTCCTTGGCACACCCCCTCCCATCATCTGGGTGGCCTAGGAGATGTGTTGAGACTCCAGCAGGGACAGATGGATGCGCATCACTGAGGGGTGGTGGGTTTGCCTAAAGCCCCCTTTCTGGGAGGTGGGCAGGGCCACATTCAGTCAGGGCAGCCCAGGCATGACCCAATGCATTTAGGGTAGGGGGCTGCTGCGTCAGCTGTTAACTCTTCTAGCTGGGGGTTCCAGGGGAGGACTTAGGGGGTCAGGAAAGGAAAACATTTGGGGGCTTGGGCCTATTTATCAACTGGCACAGAAATGTGTCAACATTTTGACAACCCTTGTGGATGTATGGGAGACCTGCTGTCTGTCTGCCCCGTGTGTGGAGAGAGGGACAGGAGAGACTGCTCAGGCCCTAGGACCAGTTTTCTTGCTATTGCCACCATCAGAAAAATCCCTTTCCCTCAGAGTGGGTGGCTGGTCACTGTTTCCACTTGGCCCGGCCTCCCCAGGCCTGTGGCCACAACGAGGTAGGCTTCCTCCCTGCCGCTCCCGTCCACACAGCCCCGTGGATCCAAGGCCTGGCCAGGGCACTGCACACCAGCTGGGTGGCCTCGGCACTGGGTCCTCTGTGGCTGCCTCCCTCTGGCCCCCCTCCCCGAGGGGGCCTATTTGGCACCTCAGCCTCACTCCTATCCCCCCAGCCCCCCGGACAAGGACCTTTCCCCTGGATCTGCCTGCGTCTAGCAGAGGAGAAAGCTGAGGGGGAGTTGCAGGGTGGGGACAGCAGGAGCAGGGCCAGTACAAGGGCAGCTGGTGGCTGGGGGACCCTGGGTTCTTGGAGCAGGGCCCCCTTTCTGCCTGCTGCCCTGACTTCCCTGTGCAGCAATCTTGCTTTCTATTTTAAACAGTTTGGGTTGGTTGCTTCCCTGCCTTCCTGCTGGGTGTTTATAGTGAGGAAAATAATTGGTAATATTTGCACAGATGTGCTGGCACTGCAGCTCATCACGGGCACCTTTACCCAGGGGACCCTCCCTGCCCCCAGCCTCTCCCTGCCAGCCTGAGGAGCCAGCCTGAAGCGGGGTAACAGCAAGCTCCCCCTCCTCCCAGGAGCCTCGGGAGGTGAGGCTCAGGCAGATCTGGGAAGCAGGAGGCCCGATGTGCCCCCCAGGCGCCCCGAGGCAGGCCTCCGCAGGCAGCACCAGGCGGGGGGGCCCTGCCCCTGCTGCCCCTGCTGCAGGGACTGATCTAGAGAAGCCTGGGGCCACAGGCTGGGCCCCTCCTGGGGAACTGTGTGGGAGGGAAACCCCTGGGGCTCTGTTTCTGATTTCATCTTCTCCTGCAGAGCCGGGCTTTGCTTCTGGGGTAAAGGAGGGGGTAAAAAAGCCCGGGAGCAGGTGGGGATGAACATAGGACATCATGTGGTTCTTCTCCCCTGTGTCTCAAGGCCTGGAAGCAGCATTCTGGAGGGCTGGGACGGAGGTAGGTGTCATCCAGGCTGGGAGGCGGCCTGCCCGCCCCAGTGGGGCCCAGACAGCAGCGTGGGCCTCCCTTCGCCCATTCTGGGGCCCAACCAGACTGGTGACAGTGAGACTGCACAGCAGGCAGGGCCGCGTGACCCCCTCGGGCACCATGTCTCTGTCACCCCTCACACGTGCGGGTGCACCTGTGAGTGAGTGTGGGCCTGAAGTGTTTGTGCGCGTGGCAGCTGTACCTTCGTGTGTGCACACGCATGGCTGCATGCCTGGGCCCGCGGGTATGTGTATGCACATGTAGGTGCATGTGTGTGCACGAGCATGCTACACACATGTTCCTGTGCATGTGCATGCATGTGCCTCGGTTTGGGTTCCCCCAGAAGCCAACCCAGAGACAAAGATTCAACTGCAGGTAGATGACCCCAGATAGCACGGTAGGTAAATGACGTAGAAGAAGAGGGAAAGCAGCCAGGGAGGGCCATGGTCTCCAGTATACTGCTGCCAGGGCCACCTGAAAGTCAATCCCGCTGGGGAGTCATGGGAGCCAGAGGGCAGAAAGCCCACCAACTCCCATCGGTCACTGGTTGAAGCCTCCTGACAGGGCTGTTGGCTCTCTGGCACTCTGGCTTGGCCTTGGCCTAGTGTCGCAGAGTTCCCAGGGAGCAGCCTTTGGTGTGTGGAGGTAGATGCTGAGGGGATCTAGGTGGCACCAGAGGGTCTGCTGCTGTGTGGTGGGTGTGGCAGGAGTGGTGACAGGCCACTTGGGGGCCCTGCAGGAATGATGTTTTCTTTTTGCCTCAGGGCAAGCCTGCTCGCTTGGCCACTCTCCTTTTCTGGGTGGCCCATATCCAGTGACTATTTGCTGAGGGGTTACAAAAGTCTGGGCTTTGTCCCAACTTGCATCAGCCCTTGAGGGTATCCTGCTGGCTCCATCCCCACTGCATTTGGGCCTGCCCCAGAGCCCGACCTCCCCTTGCCCAGATCTGTCTCTTCCCTTCCTCAAATAATGGCCTGAGAGCAGCCCCTAATAGCCACCTGACAGTAATCTCTGCCTCAGGGGCATCCAGCATGCATGTGTGCAAGCGAGCAAAGCTGTGTCTTGCCGGAAGGCACATATAGGTGTAAAGTGTGCATATCCTACCTCCCCCAGGGTCTTCTGTGCACAGTAATCTAGAAACCAAGCCTGTCCCTTTGCTGGCCCAGGCAGGCTCATGGGGGCCAGGAAGCGAGAGGATATTGGAGATTTGGTGCCACGCCTGGGGGCTGAGGCAGAGATGGCTTCCTCCCCACAGGTTTGAGGGACTCAAGAATGAGCACCAGGGCAGTGGGGCTCCTTGGTGCCCCCCTGGCCCTGCATCCACTCTTGATAGCTGCAGGCAACTCAATGGAGCCACACCCACTCTTCCTCTTGACCCACAAGCCCTTGAGCCTAGAAGGGATTTTTCTTCACACACGGGCATTGTCTCCTCTGACATGGAGTCAAGTGCACCCTAGCACTCTACACCCAAGGTACTCTGAGCAGAGAAGTCCTGGGGAGGGTGGGTGTTCTGACTACCCCTCCTCCTGAGGCCTTCCTGGGAATACTACTGGGGACCCAGAGCAGCAGACATGGGGCTGGAGCCCAGTCTTGGAGGACAGCAGGCTGCAGGCAAAGGTGGAGGCAGGCAGGGACACTAAGAGGCCCAGAGGGCACCTAGTGTTACAGAAATGTTTATTACAAGGATAAATATATACAATAATGGGATATTAAAACTGCTGATCCAGGCCTGTGGGGTTTCAGGAGATGCGGGGAGCAGTGGGTGGGCCAAGGTGGGTCAGTGGTACATCCACGGCCCTGGGCTCTGGATGTGGCTTAGGAATGACCAAGTCCCAAGATCCCCAGCACAGTTGAGTCTTTTGCTTGAGCCCAGACAGGCCTGCCCTCCCAATGTATTACCCTTCTGGTTGCCTCTAAAATTCTGGATGTTCCCTAGTGGCTGGGGGTGTTGAGAGCAGTTCTGGGCAAGGACTGACCAGGGTGCCACCACTGACCCCCAGTATTTAGAAGTAGGAAAATATCACTGGTCTTTGAGAGATGTGCTGCCCAACCATCTTCTCTGAGTTGGTGGAGCCCTCAGAGATGGCTACAGTTTGCCTCCAGCCCAGATGCTTGAGGCATAATCCAAATAGCTTGGGAGACTCCTGCCGTGTCCCTGGTCATGAATACTAAGGGTTATGGGAAAATGAATCCCCTAGATAAATTCTCCTCATCCTTTTAGGCCTTACTCAAGGAACACCTCTTCTAGGAAGCCTTCTGGGCACTGCTAGCTGCTTAGCAGCCATGCCAGTCTCATCCCTCCCCTCATTTATACTATGTCCCAGGGTCTTGCCTCACTGGTTTCCCACAGGGATGGGTCTGGGGCCCTATGCTTCGTGGCTGGTGGGCTGATGACACTCTCTCTTGGGATGGCATTAGCTCAGGGCCACCTAGGAGGAGCCCAGAAAAGGATGGTGGGGGCAGGGACCAGGAAGGGACTGGGGAGGCCCATGGGGTCTGGCAATATTTCAGGACTCTGTCATCACATCTGCCTTTAGTTCCTGCACGAGGAAGCTCTGAGAACCTGCCCTGGCTCCACTTTACATGCCTGAGATGCTCCTTCACTATCTAGAATCTATAGTGTCTTACAAACCTACAGGAGAGAACCAGAAAGAGCTCGGGGCCCCTGTGTCTTTGTATTTTCCTCCTGGTTGGCTGGGGTCTTGGCCTCATGGGGCCAGAGAGTGGAGTTGGGGAAGCTCAGATTGTCCTTAGAGTGGAGACTTCTAATAGCCAAAAGAACTGGGTCATATTCTTGCCCCTAGTTGTCCCTTTCTCTCCCAGTAACCTCTTGCTTTTTCTCTGTGGTGAGGCTGACAGAGTTGGGGAGTGGGTTGCTGGCAGGGCAGGTGACCCTCTAGGGGTGGGCAGGATAGGCTGAACTCCTAGCCAGCCTCAAGCCAGAGGTAGGTCCTGCCTGGATGGTTTGGTGGGCAGCCTTACCCTCTCCTGCTTCCTGACATAGCCTGGGCTAGAGAGTGGTGCCCCTGGCTCTGCTCTGGGGCTGGTGGGCTGTGGACAAGAAGTGATGGTGGAGCCCTGCAGGCTGCAGCCTGGGAGGCCTCTCCTCAACAAGCTGGGGTTGCAGGTTGTCTTGAGGGGCCAGGGCTCTCCAGAGGGTCTGCAACTCTAAGCCCCATGGCCTCCTCAGGTGGAGCAGGGGAGTCAGGATGCCAGGCCCTGCTGGCCACTAGCCATGGCCATTCTGGGACATGTAAGCTGCCAGAGCCACTACCACAGCCACATAGAGACCGGCGCCCACAGCGATGGAGAGTGTGGCCAGGAAGAGGGCCCTGCGGGAGGTGGTGCTGGCCAGGCGGAAGTCTCCCTTGGAGATGGCCTTGCTGGTCTAGGGAGAGAGAGGTGCTAGTGAAATGGATATCCCCACCGCAGGCAACACAGCCCCAGCCCACTGGGTTCCAACCCTGTCCCACACACCCATTGTTAAACCCTCCAGTGGAGGGAGTGGGCTGGAACTGATGCCCTGTGCCCCTTGTGCTCTTACCCCCTGGGAAAAGTAGAAGGCAGCAATGCCCAGGGGCCAGAAGCAGCAGAGCATGGAGAAGATAGTAAGGCCCAGGTGGTCCCTGGGGGGCAACGCCACGAAGTTGTCTTCACTTTCACTGTCTGTCGAGGTCATATCACTCTGTAAAACACAAGTGGGCTTTTGTGACCAGGCCCAAGATCACCAGTGGCAATGATGTGGGGCCACAGGTAGTGTTGTAGGTTGGGCTCCTCACTCTCTACCCAGAGCCTTAACTGTGACCCCCTGATTCCCTCCATAGCCCACTCGTACAAAGAAAGATTGCAAGTACTCATGTACAGGCATGTGCATCATTGGATGGTAATTGTGAAAGAAGAGAAAGAGTCCTGATGCTCAATGACCAGGGGATTGAGTAAACAAATGGTGGGAGAATGTGCAACAGGACACCAGGGAACCCTTAAAGATTGTGTTGTAGACAAATATTAAATGATTTGGAGCAATACTGAAATACATTGCTTAGAGAGAAAAATCTGGTGATAAAACTGTACAGCAAGATCTTTTTGGAGGAGTAGGGTGGGAGAAAAACACTGAATGAGAAAAGGCTAGAACGTCATCTACTAAAATAATAATGTTTTCTTCCAGTGGTTTTTCTGTATTTTTAAATTACTTACATAATGAAGAAAACAAGAACAATAAATGCTATTAAAAAATTAAGTCGCGGGACGCCTGGGTGGCTCAGTGGTGGGGTATCTGCCTTCGTTCAGGGACTGATCCTGGGATCCCGGATCGGGTCCGCATGGAGCTCCCTGCATGGAGCCTGCTTCTTCCTCTGCCTGTGTCTCTGCCTCTTTCATGAATAAATAAATCTTTTTTTTTTTAATTTTTATTTATTTATGATAGTCTCACACACACACACACACAGAGAGAGAGAGAGAGAGAGAGAGAGAGAGAGAGAGAGGCAGAGACACAGAGAGAGGGAGAAGCAGGCTCCATGCACTGGGAGCCCGACGTGGGATTCGATCCCGGGTCTCCAGGATCGCGCCCTGGGCCAAAGGCAGGCGCTAAACCGCTGCGCCACCCAGGGATCCCTGAATAAATAAATCTTAAAAAAAAAAAAAAAAAAAGATTAAGTTTCCAGCCCAAACTTGTGTTTCTCAAAGTATGGACAGCACCTGTGCCAGAAGTACCTTTTCTTTGGTAACGATACAGATTCCAGGGCCCCACACCAGGCCTACCGAATCTCAACACTTAGAGGCTGACCTGGAGTCTGCATTTCAAACACATGCACTCACCTCCTCCTCCTCCTCCTGGTCATTCTCCTGGCCCTGCAGTTCCTCTTGAACCCCGTAGGACACAGTCTGGATGGTGATATCCTCTTCTACTTGGCCAGGTTCTGTGGAGCGCTCTGTGGGCCCAGCCTGGAGCTCCCTGTTCTCTGTGAAGCTGGTCTCACAGCTGCTGGCTCTGGGTTCCTTGACCTTGTCCCTCCCCAGGAGGCAGCTGGGCCTGTACCAGGCCTCCACGGCCAGCTGTAGGGATCCCGGATCCAGGAGCTGGTGGGTGCGAGCAGAGCCAGCACCACCCAGGAGGTAGGAGTAGAGCTTCTCCTGGCATGACCAGCTGGGTGAAGCCTCGGGGTAGGGGTAGGGGCCATGGAGGGGGGTGGGGGTCCGAGGCAGCAGAGGGTTCTGCAGTTCACTCAGACTCTCCATGGTTCCGGGGGCAGCTCTGGGGAGGGGAGACTGGGCCAGCTGAGCCGTCCTCAGAGAGCCTGCTGGGCGAGCAAGACAGACAGCTGCTGAGTCCAGGGTGCTGGATGCAGGACTGGAAGTATTTAAGAACGTAGGCCCTCGGACTCTGCCTTTGCCACTGGCTAGTTGCAGGGCCTTGAGCTGGCTCTACTTCTCTTCTTAGAATGTCCTTTTCTTTGTCTACAAAGTGGGCACAGCAGCAGTACTTACCTCATAGAGTTGGCTCAGTCATCTATCCTGTCAACATAATGGTCAAGCATCAGCTCCTTGCCAGGCACCGTACAGGTGCTGCAGACACGAAGGCAAGAAAGGCAGGGAACAGGAAGAGGACAGAGGATGCACGCTGTCTTCACAGAACTCACAGTGGTGAAGATACCTGTCCAGAAAAGGAAGGATGGCAAGTGGAGTGAGAACGTGCAAGGGACAGAAGTGACACAAAGGTATAGGGAAAGCTTTGGCACCGAAGGTCCAAAGGAAAAGGACCAGTTGGCAAGGCAAGGGGAGGGGGAGCACATTTCATGCAGAGGCCAGATGGAGGATGGTGGTTCTGAGAGCCTGGGAGAAGGCTGCTATCTCTCAGGGTACAGAGGAAGAGGTGAGATGGGGTGTGGGGCCAGAGGGAGCAGCCCCGTTTAGGTCTAAGAGGGCTTCAGAGATCTTGGCAGGAGCGATAAGATGGGATTTGGGTCTAGAAGTCTTCCTGTGGCTGTGTATGGGGATTGGCTTGGAGAGAGGGCTGGCTTACTACACCCGGAGGGGGCTTTGCTACAGCCTCAGGTCAGCTGAGGACAACTGGAACTCAATAGTGGGGAGATAGTGACAGGACTTGGTAGTAGGTGGGATATTGGGTTGAGGGGGGGTTTGTTTGAAAGGTTGGATGGGACTGCGCTTAGCTCAGAGCTCAGTGCTCAGTATGGGCCATGTGCTCACAGCTGTTGGTTCTTCCTGGCGGGGGGGGATGCTTTTCCCCAGTTATGGTCTTTTTTTTTTTTTTTAAGATTTTATTTATTTATTCATGAGAGATACAGAGAGAGAGAGAGGGAGGCAGAGAGAGAAGCAAGCTCCATGCAGGGAGCCTGACGTGGGACTTGATCTGTGGTCTCTTCAGGATCATGCCCGGGGTGGAAGGCAGGCGCTTAACTGCTGAGCCATCCAGGGATTCCCCCCAGTTATGGTCTTAAGAGGGTGCTCCTTAGACTAATTTCCCCTCTGAGGCAAACTGTGGTTTTGGATGTCCTGTGGGATCTAAGGCAGGGCGTCCTGGGCACTAAAGTCTCGACTTGTACATGCCAGCTGGAAGCGTAGATACACTCATAGGCTAGCGTGTAGATACCCTGTAGGGCTACCTCTTCCTCCTTCAGCCAGCCCTGAGAACCTGGGAAGGGTGCATAGTAGGTGCTCAGGACCAGCCGAAGGAGGGAAAGACGGCCGGCCTGTGAATGTGTCTACAACAAAGTTACACACACTCTGGGATGTGGCAGGTAGAGACGGGATATGGAGAGAGAGGAGGGGCAGGCCAGGTGACCCCAGGGACCCTACACTCTCCCTCCCAGGCCCATCATGAGGCTAAAGGGTGAGAGGAACATGTCTTGTCCTGGATTTTTAATCTGAAGATTGAAGAGTTGGTCCTGCCCTTAATACTTTGGACCAATAATCATGCTCTTCTGGGTTTCCTCTTCTATAAAGTGCAGATGATAATCCCAGCCCAACCCACAAGGTTCTTCTGAGGATCCAGACAGATGGCTGAGATGCCGTTGCAGATTACAAGTAGGAGGGGCTGCTGTGCTGACTTCCAGGCATCAGTCTTTACCCACCTAGGGTCATTTCTGCCTGATGGTAAAGGGAAAATGTGGGGAAGGATTTCCCCTTCAGGGATGAATTTGTCTAGGCCCCCTCCCCAGTCCCACTCCCCATCAAGAATCCACAGCCAGAGCCTGACCATTTCTCTTTCTACTCCAAGAGAAGTGGCTGGATTCTAGAAAGCCAGTTTTTGGGAAACCTGAAGACAGAGCAGGGCCCCAGGAATAATGGAAAGTGGAACAGAGGGAAGGAAGGGCCAGGCAAGACTGAAGGAGGGCCTTAACAGTGAGTCCATGGGGGGCCAGGCTTCCCTGGCTGGCCTGCTATGAGGGAAGAGGAAGGCAAAGGAGCAAGAGGAAGCTCCCTGTGCCTCAGAGGCTCTGAGCCCTGACAAATGTGGCCTCTGGGGCTGAGGCTTCAAGGATGTGAAGAATTATGGAGGGACCCAGAGAAGAGCATGTATGGGATTCTAGACATGGCTCCCGAAGGTCCCCTAGCCTTTCCTCCAGCTAGTCTTAGTCAGTGTCCCCTCTGCATATAGCCTCAAGGGCCTCTGTTGTCATCCATGTGGGCAGAGGTATGTAGGGGCCTTCTGGCAGGTTGGGGGGGAAGGACCAGCCCCATGCCCCTCCAAGCAGACTCATGTATCAAAGTCACCCTTGCCCTATGCCCTGAAGGAGGGATAGGAGGCCTTGGCAAGGCACCTGTCCGATTTCTCAGAAAGAAAGGAAGGATAACTTGTGGTCAGGCATCAGGACATGGAGCTCTAGAGACTTGTAGGGGCATTTGCAGGGTCCTTGTCCAAGGCAGGCGGGGGCAACTGTGTCCTACCTCATCCCTCTGCTCTTGTTAGCCATCCTCTCTTGGTCAAAGCATACCCAGCTGAGCTACTGAAGCCAGCCACACAGTCTTTTCCTAGCTTACAGTCCTCTCCACTGAATTCTGATTGTGCCTTTGGGCAGGGCTTCTCAGCTTCGTGTACAAAGATGCATGATCCTGGGTTTCAACAATAGGGACAAACTGAAAGCCACCTGAATGTCCAACAATCGGGGACAAGTTAAATAAATGATGGTACAACAAGCTGGTGGTACAAGGCGTTCAAACTGGTTTACAAAGAGGAATGGCATGAGAAAAATGTTCATTGCAGCTTCAGTGAGAAGGAAGAAAAGAAAGTGGTATGCACATGCAATCTAACTCCACCAAAACGTCCATAGTGATTATCTCCAGCAGTGAGTGCACAGGTGCTTTTCATTTTCCTTTTCACACCATATTTTCTGTTTCCCATGTTTATTTTTTACATTGAGCATGTATTTCTTTTAAACCAGGAAAAAATTAAGTGCATAAATTTCTTCTGAGCCAAATTACCTAAATTGGTTTTAAGCCTTTGCAGACTTGAGGGTTCCTTCTGGGTTTAAAGGCTGAGCATAGCATCAAAGTCTACCCAGAGACAGATAGACAGACAGGCAGACACATGTACACACACATCCACTTCCATGAATCAACCAAGTTATGGGCTACAGAACCTCCTCACAGTCCAGCCAGGAGTCACAGTTCTTGAGCAAGGTCACATTCGCCCCATAACCTGCTAAGGCCACATGAGAGTCCATCAAGCTGATCCTGGGAACCCAGCGCTGAGTCCTGGCCAGAAGGATGAGGTGGCAGGTCTCCCAGCCCAGGCTTCTCTGCCCTTAGCCTGGCCTGACATTTTGGCCTGTTGCTCAGAGTTGCCTCTCCCTGTTCCCTCTGCAGTAAGAGACCAGTGTTCAAAGCAGAGTCATTTTCATCTCCACTTTTGCCTGGTCTCACCTGGGCTGTGTGTGACTGCTGTCCCTGTCTGCTGTCCGTGTCATACTGTATGCCTGCATTCTTGCTGGTGAGCATGCAACTGTGTGTATGTGTGTGTGTGTGTGTGTGTGTGTGTGTGTGGTTTCCTTCTGGAGGGAAGACATGCGATGTCAGGGATTCTGAAGCCAAGGAGCTTGCTCCAGATTGTGCAGTTGGAATCAGAGGTCCAGGCCCCATGAGAGGGAGGAAGAGGTGGATGTGGGAGGCCACAGCCCCTGGCTTGTAACCTTGGAGGTGAGAACTAAGCTAGACCCTAAGGTTTTCCACTCCCTGATTTAAAGACGGAGAGTACACATACTGGCCACCTCCAGACCAGGGACAGGAAGCCCTCCAGGAATCCATCCACCGAGGTCCAATTACAGCCTCAGTTTGCTTATCTATAAAATGAATGGGAGGGTAGAAGGGGTTGATTTTTAACAGCTAAGATCAGTATGACCCTGGGATTGTACTGGGAGAAGAAGAACAGTAACTTGACATTTATTGAGCTTTTCACCATGTGCCAAGAGCTGAACTGCTCTAAATGTTCCTCTGACCTGTAATTTCTAGTGGGAGAGTCACAGTGGGATAGGGGCTTCCTCTCCTAGCTGTGGCAGGCTAACCTGTGTCATACCAAACTGCCAAGAATTGCTAGAAAAAACAGGGAAGAATATGAAGACATCAAGGAATCACCACGGGAGCAAGATCTCAGGGGAAAGAGAAACACTGAGCGGTGAGTTCCCATCCTGGGCACCACTCTGGCCTTCCAGCAGTATCAGGCTGGGGAGATAAATGGGAGTTCAGGGCCTCTTAAGGAGGGGCCCCAGCAAACACCCCTGGTTTTATTGGGACCTCTTTAGGGTATCCCAGAGGAGCAGGAGCAAACCAGACACAGACCAGCCCTCACAGGCACAGAAACCAGGCTTTGAACCAGCTCCAGTCTAATCGGATTAAGGTGATCTGCACACAGCCTCACTGCCGGCCAGAAGCAGAAGTTGTCCGGGGTGGGTGGTTCCCCATCATTTGTGTGCGCTAACATCACCTGCAGGACTTAACTCAGACTGCAAGGCTCCAACCTCACAGCTGATGATTCTGAAATGACCTTGAGAATTTACGTCTCTAACAACTTCCTGGGTGGTGTTGATGCTGCTGGTCCAGGGACCACAATTTAAGAACCCTGCTCTAATATAATCACTGAAAGAATAGTTAAAAAAAAAAAAAAAGTGGGACGCCTGGGTGGCTCAGTGGTTGAGTATCTGCCTTCAGCTTAGGGTATGTCCCAGAATGCCTGGATTGGGTCCCACATCGGGTTCCCCCCAGGGAGCCTACTTCTCCTTCTG